GGGGGGGGCGGAAGCCATTGAGGGCAATCATGAATGTCAGGGACAATGGAGGAGGAAGATGGGACATGGCAGAGGGTGGGGATGGGGAACCTAGGATGGCAAAACAAAAGGCAAGGTATGCAGGACACAAAAATTGGGAAATCATTTGCTGAGAACATATATGTTGATGTGCTTGATTGAGCCAATGCACAGTGTATTTTGGATGGAAAATTCATATGTGTGTTGTGATGAGAAAAAAAAATTTATAATAAAAAACAAAGTATAAAAAAAAAAAAAGGAGGGAGAAGAGGATAAAGACAGCAGTGAACAATAGAGAGGCAGGATGTTAATGAGAAATAGATATGGTTTATTACCTGTTGATGATGACATGTATAGTATTCTCAACTGAACCGGTCTGGAAAGTATTTCATGATGGGTGAAGTCTTTTTAATAAGCAAAATGAGAAATAGTGATTGACTGTTTAAAAAAATTATAATAATAATTATTGGGAAAAGCATGGAAAAGATATTGAATGATAAAGCGGGGAGATTGATATCTCTGTATTGACTGACATGCATGGCATTGCCTTTTGAAAAAGCAATGGAAGTCAATGTAAAGTTATATGTAATCTAGTGTAATAGAAAGAAGATTATGATGATAATAAAATTTTAAAAAAAAGTATATCAGTCAATCTAGTGGGAAAAGGAAAACCTCTTTAGCAAATGGTGCTGGAAAAACTGGGTATCCACCTACCAAAAGATGAACTTGGACCCCTCTCTCTCACCATTAAAAAAATCAACTCAAAGTAGATCAAAGATCTAAACCTAAGACCTGAAACTATAAACTTATTGGTGGAGAACACTGGGGGAACTTGAGGAGACACTGGGGTAGGCAAAGGCTTCTTAAATAAGACTCCTCAAAACACAGACTGTAATCCCCAAAATAGATAAGTGGGACTACATCAGATTAAGAAGTTTTTGCACAGCAAAAGACACAGTAATTAGTGTGAATCAACAACCCTCAGAATAGGAGAATATTTTTGTAAACTATGCCTCAGGTAAGGGACTGATAATCAGAATACAAAGGGAACTCAAGCAGCTTACCTGAAAAAAAATTATCAACCCAATTAAAAGATGGGAGAATGAGCTGTACCAACAACTCTCTAAGGATGACATATGAACAGCCAAAAAGCATATGAAAAAAGGCTCAACATCCCTTACCATAAGGGAGATGCATACAAAACTACAATAAGATGCCACCTAACCCGAGTCAGAATGGCAAAGATTAAAAAAAACAAAGATAAGTGCTTGCCGTGCTGTGCTGAAAGGCGAACTCTCCTTCACAGCTGGTAGAAATGTAAATTGGTCCAATCACTGTAGAGAACAATATGGAGATTCCTCAAATATCTACAAATAGAACTACCATATGATCCAGCAATTCCACTCCTGGTTATCTATCCAAAGGGTAGAAGAACACTCAGTTGGAAAAGTACTTGCATATCAATGATTATTGTGGCACTATTCACAATTGCTAAGACATGGAACCGACCCAATGCCCACAAACAAATGAATGAATTGAAAAAGTGTGGCACATAGGGACCAGCACTTAGCGTAATGGCTATGTTGCTGGAATCCCATGTAACCGCCGTGGTTTGAGTCCTGGACCTGGTGGCTTAAACTCACACCTGGTGCGTGTGCGTGTGTGCCCAAGATCCTGGGAGGAGAATGGAGGAGAAGGGATTGTGGCGTGGCCATCCCCCCTGGGGGGTGATTTCTCGCTTTCTATCTCTCTGTCTCTCTCTGTCTTTCTGGTGAGTGCATGCACCCTATAGCACAAAAGCAAAAAAAACCTCTCCAAAAAAAAAAAGTGTGGCAAATATACTCTATAGAATACTACTCAGTCATAAAAAACAAGATGCTGGTTATCTGTTGAAGATATTTTATAGTTTTTTCAACCGGACTAGGGAGAAATGTTCACATGTTGAAATATTCACTTTGTAAGCTAAATAATGTGATTGAATGTATAAAAGAAAATGAAATTCTAAAAAGTGTAAATGAAAAAATAAAATAAACATAAAAAAGAAAAGTACAGATGACTAATAAACGTATAAAAAAAGAAACAGACAAATACAGAAGATTTACTGCTGAGTGAAGCAAGCCAAGCTATGAAAGAGAGACATTGTATGTCTCCACTTAATATATACTGACTGACTGTACTCTATGGTGGAAACTGAAATATTAGAAGATAAGAAGGCATGAAAAATGGTTATAGATACTGGAGATATCATGGAAAGAGGGTAGGAAAGCAGGAGAATGTGAGGGTAAAAATTAAGGAGAAAACTAGAGAGGCAAGATATTTATGGGACATAGAAATGAATTGTTGTCTGTTGATGATAATGTATATAGCATCCTCAACTGGACTGGTGTTAGGTTTATTCATGATGGGTAAATTCAGTTTACAAGCTAAGTAATATATCGTGATTAAGTGTATAACATTTTTTTAAAGTTAATGAAATTAAAGTATGAGTTTATTTTGGTAAAAAAAAATGTGAAATCCATGCAGTTTTTTGTTTGTCTAAGAGATTTCTGCCTTAGGGGACATGCACACATCAGAGAGAAAGAGAGACAGAGACAGAGATAGTAAAAGGGAAAGTGAGAAATCACACCCCAGGAGGAATGGACACCACAATTCTTCTCTTCCATTCTCTTACTGGGATCTTGGGCACACACACACACGCACGTCGAGCATGATTTTCAAGCCAAAGAGTTCAGGACTGGAACTGTGATCGGCCATGTGGGAGTCCAGCAACATAACTACTATGCCATCTTCTGGCCCTGGAGCTTTTTCCTAATATGCATATTCTATGAACGTTTTGAAGACTATCCTCATAACTGATAGCACAGAGTAGAACGTTTTCATCACTGCAGAAAGTTATGCTGGACAGTTCTGATTTATAGCAGGAATTAACAATGCCCCAGCCTGTGGGGTAATTCAGCTGCCACTTGGTTTTCTAAATAGTTTTGCTGGGACACAGCCATGCCCGTTCATTTATGTAGCATGTATGCCTGTTTTTATGTGACAACAGCAGAGTTGGGTAGTTATGACAGACTCTATGATTTGCCAAACTTAAAATACTCTCTAACCATTTATATAAAAATGGTTGTTGACTTCTGGTGTAGATTGTGAAAAAAGTTGCATGAGGTGGGCCAGTCCCATAGCCTAGTGGTTAAGGAAGCCAGAATCCACATGGCTGACTGCAGTTTAAATCATGGTCCTAAGTAGCTTGAAAAATATACTGAGTGTGTGTGCAGGTGTGTCCAAAATCCTGACAGGATGGAGAAATGGAGAAAGAAATGTGAAAGGATTGCAGAAAGGCCCCATGGGGGGGGCGCTTTCCCCCTCTCTTTTTCTTCTCTCTCTGGTGAATACATGCATCTCTTGGCAATAAATTCAAAAAAAAAATTGCATGAGGATTTTTTTTCCTCCTAAGATGCTTACATAATATTAGGTCATTGGAAAAGTCATGGCATATTTTTTCTTTTTTTTTCCATGAAAAATGTGTTATGACTTTTCCAACAACCTGATAGTACTTCCAGGAACCATAGTGGGATCCAAGCATGTCTCTCTTGAGAAGGAGGCAGGGAACATAGAGCTGTCACATGTGCGTCGAGCTTCACAGGGCACAGGATGCTCTCTACCAAGCAGGAATCTTCTCTAGGGTGACAGACCTCACCCTAGAGAGGCCATGGGGCATGTCATTGGCTGCAAGTCTACCCAAGAAAACCACACACCAGAAGGATCTTACCATTTGCTTTCTTTATTTTTTCATTCTTCTCAGGTCAATGAGGCAGCAACATTAATAAAAAAGATGAGACACAATTGTTTTCTTGCATGGCAATTCAATAAGCCCCAGTTGATGTTCTTCAGATCATCCCAAGAGTTTGTCATTAAATTTGGCCTAATTTGGAAGGTCCAGCTTTAAATATAACTCCCATACTGATGCTGGGCCAATTAAGGAGTCTATTTCCATGAAAGGGGCAATACCTTGAGCAGAGACAGCATTACACATTAGCCTCCTTCTGGCTCTTTTCAAATAGCAGGCCCAAGAGGAGATCTTTGCACTTAATGTGGTATTTAGGAAGGCTGGAAGCTCGGGCTTCCCCACCAGGGAACCCTCGGGACTACCAGACCAGCAGGGAGTTGGGAGTCCTCTGTAGCTTGAACATGCATGCAACGAGCCCCTGTGATGCCTGTCTGCCCCCAAACCACTCTTGAATCATCTCTGCTCCTCTCCCCTTTATGAACACAATCCTTTGTTGAAATGGGAAGCTAAACTGATTCAAGAGACTTACTGAGGTTCATTCTGGTAATGTTTTTATTGTCAGCAGAATGTAGAATTTATTTGTAGCAGCTTGAAGTGCCCTGGGGCCACTTGAATTTGCTTAGGGTGCCTGTGAGCATCTCCAATGGTAATATTTGGGACAGCAGGGCTCAGGGAATGCTGCAATTTTAGCTGTGCAAATTGCAAATGCACGTGGAACTCTCACTCTGTCACGCAAACTGAAGAAGCACTGTTTCCCTTTTTGTGTAGCCAGGAGGCCTTAAATGGGTGACCTCCCCTCTCTCAGATTCCCAGGTTGACTTGCCGAATTCTCTCTCCCACCAGCCTTTCTCTGCCACTTTGTCCAAGTTATTTGGATAAATGGGAAGAAAAAAATATATATCCTAAGCTTCCAGTCCTGACTTTTTAGACCAGCCTGGCAATGCACATATTCTCCCAGGCACTTCTTGAATTACAGAGAAAACAACAGTGAGCGAGCCAGCTACTGAGCTACTACCAGGGTTGGTTTAATTTGCACGGGTCCGAGACATATCTCAAGTGTCTGGGTTCATCCACGCTGTCGTCTCTTCCGTCCCCGCAACTTCAGTCGCCTGGCTGGCAAGGTGACAGGTTGCTTCCCAAACTTCTCCATGATCTCTCTAATCCTGGCCAGGTTGGTTTTGCTGAGAGTGAAATCACACCTTGTGGCCCCCATGTCATACCCAACCATACAGTTCTTGGTGGATGCAGTGAAGCCTTCCGCCTTTGCTGTGACCACATACTCTCCAGGGTTGAGGAGGCGCCAGTAATCCCCATCACTGGCTGTGAAATGAAAACAGGGGTATGGGGAGGATTTAGAGCAGTGCTTTTCTAACGCAGAAACCACCAAACCCAAGACCAGCCTCCCAGTCAGAAAGAAACTCTGAGGCAGGCAACTGGAGCTCCCACAGATGCAAATTCTTAGTGCATTTTGGAAGCCAAGATGTTTTCTTCTCTGGAAGCTGTCTTAATGGTTTTAACAGGAAGAAGACTGGATATCGACTCCCCACAGTGTTATTACACATGAGCAGAGATGGAGAAACGATTGCTAACACTCCTCTCTGTGACAATATGAGCCATTCATTATGAATCTGAGCTTCCAAACAGTATGCCCTCGCCACACACTGCCATCTTGAAAAGCCATCAGTACAGGGTTTCCTGGCTCCCATTAGTATGGCTGCAAATACAGAATAATAATTTTTCGAAGGGGTGGAGTTCTTCCTTTCTGAAAAGAAAAAGAAAGGACTACCATTTGGATAAAGGCCAATGACCTGGGAAGAGGGCCTGGCATCTGCATCGCATGTGGCCCTTATCCTGAGGTGATGCAGGGGCATCTACACATGGATGCCAAGGAGAAAAAGGCACTGAGACTTGATGAGACCCAGTGCAGGTTGTGCAGGAGAACCCCCTGCCTCCCATTACAGCACCGGTCAATTACCCAGCAAGCACCAAAGGTGACTGGGGTCCATCTTGAACTCTAGGCCAGGTCCTTGTTGCATAAAGACAGATTCTGGACCAAGGTCACTCCTCCCAGAGAGCCTAGGGTTTAGTGAGAACACTTAGATACATGGCATATTGGAGGCTCTAGAAGAAAATGGAGATACTAGAGACCTTCACTGAGGGCACAGCTAAAAAGGGACACGGCTAGTGCTGCCTCACTGGGCCCTCCAAGTGACTCCATGCTATGGGCTCTATGGTTACTCCTTTTTCTACAAGTAATTTGATGTTCTGAGAGGTAAAATATTCTGCACAAGGTCACACAGCTAGTACTTGGTGGGTCTCTTTGAATCTGTCAGATTCAGGCCAGAGAGAGTATTTATAAGATTCAGGCTAGCTGGAACATTCATAAGAGAGACATTCAGTCTAAAGCTTTGGTACCAAGTAAGGAAGAGAAAAGGCTGGATTTGATCAAGTCCTAAGTAGGCCCTGGGCAAGGCTAATTTGTCTAAACAAGTCCTGAAGTTTTCTAAGGGAGGGAAGACTACTGGGGGTGTATAAATATGTATCTTCTCTGTATACATACATAACACTTCGAAGCCTTATGTTTAAATTCACATTATAATCCTGATTCATCTGAGGCACCCCATGCAATGCAATGATCTTACGAGAGCCCAAGATACTGTGAAAAAGGAAAGATGGAGGCAGTTGTTTGTTTCATGCACATATAGTCTGCTATAGTATGCAGGACTCCATATGAGAGGTCCTGGTACACACACACACACACACACACACACACACATACACACACACTCACAGAGGTGGCTCCCTAGTTTTCTCAGCTCTGTGCTCTATGTTTTCTCTTAGGGAAAATGCAAGGTTTCAGCTAAATAAAATGCCACTTCATAGCCGTATGTAGAAGCACATCCATCAGCAGGCAATCAGATGGTCAGAGCCTTACAGTGCAATTTACCTTCTGAGATATCTCTCTGGGCACACCTGAGTGAGCCACCTTCACATGTCGTTCCTGTCCTCTGACCTCTTCTTTCTGCCACACCATGTCCTTAAGAGTGCAAACCGCCTCTGTTTCCTGTCCTGGCCCCTGTGTTAAGAGCCTGGGTCTTTTGAGTCTTAACAGTGTGCTTCACATGATGCATCCTCAAATGAATACTGAACAGTGCTCATTCAACTGAATACTGGTTCAGTTAAATGGGATGAAGAAAAATGAGTGAGCAGGAAATCAAACATATTAACATGAGAATTTTGAAGATATTGAATCTCTACTGTGGGTGCTGGGGGGCGGGGATTAATTAAGGGCCAAGAGTCCACTTTTGCCAAAGGCCATTCTATCTGCTGGAGCCCTGCGGAGATGAGACCTTGCAATGGGAGTACCCGCCTTAATGGCACTTTAAGGTCGATTTGAAATACCCCAGAGAAAGGCAGGCCAGATTCTTACCAAGGGAGGTGCTTATTCAGCTGAGAATGAGTGAAAAAAATCCATAATTAATAAGTGTCAGCACTACTGATTTAAATTTATGTTTATAATAAGAAGTCTTTATAATACTCCTTAGCCCCCCAACAACTAGGAGGTACTCTCCCCAATATACCCTCCATGTTGTCATTGGTTTACTTATACATGTCATGGTGTCCACTCTTTACACCTGTCTTTAGAGCAGGATCACATGAGCAATGAAATCCAGAGCATCTGGGTACTCCAGCCTATGCAGCTCCCATTCCTGCCTGTCCCTTCTATATCCCACCTCCATGTGTTCCAGCCACTCTGAACACCTCATGGTGGTTCTCTAAACAGGACATACACATCTCATGCCTCTGAGCCTTTGCATCTGCTATTCCTGTGTCTGTTCACCCAACTTCTGGGATGGGTCAACTCATTTTCATCCTTTGAAAACTCAGGCCTTAAGACTATTCAAATGCCTAGAGTTTGTTTCTTAATAGGGGAATCTAATTTTAATAATTTAAAAGCAACTTGTTCCGTTCCTATGAATCTATCAGATAAGCTCTCAAAGAACACACAGATACAACTCATGTCTGATAGGAAATAGACAAGCAGTTGGAGATGGGAAGTCAATGTTCTCGTCAGCCTGAGGATTCACTTTATTCAGACAGGCTAAACGTTCCGAGAAAACCTAACCTCAGACCCGCTGAGGTTTCCCATGTCATCACACACCACTGCCAACAACCTACCACTCTGGAGCCACACATGGCCTATATTTTGTCCCTTAACTTCTGACTCTAAACCTTTGTAATTGCTGTTTCCTCCAACTTCAAAGTTGTTCCCAGCTCTTTCAAAAGACTACTTTGTGCTCATCTCCTTGGGAAGGGACCTTTGTTTTTTCCCCCACTCATTTCTCTTTTTTGGAGAGTTTTGTTTGTTTGTTTTTGTTTTTTTTTTGTTTTGGTTTTTGGTTTTTTTTGTTTTTGTTTTTTGGCCTTGGGCATGTGCACTTGCCAGAAAGACAGAGCGAGATAGAGAAACAGAAAGCAAGAAATCACCCCCCAGGGAGGACGGCCACACCACAATCCTTTCTCCTCCATTCTCCTCTCGGGATCTTGGGCATGCACGCACACACAGGCATATCCGGTGTGAGTTTAAGCCACTGGGTCCGAGGCTCAAACTCCAGTCAACTACATAGGAGTCCAGCGACATAGCCATTACAGCATCTGCTGGTCCTGTCCTCACACATTTCTAGTTATCACCTGGTTTCTTTCTTTCTTAGCACTGGCAATAGACTTTATGTACTTTAAGATTATTTTTAGTGCCAGAGGGTATGCATGCATGAGAGAGAGAGAAAGAGAGAGAGGAAGGGCAGAGGGAGGGAGAGAGAGAGAGAGTAAGAAAGCAGCCAACAATATTGTCTGGTCACACTGCAATCCCTCTTGTTCCAGTCCTCCTTCCCATCAGGATCCTGGGCATGCTTGCATATACCCAATGTTTTTTGTCAGGCTGCTGGGGCTGGGGTTCTAACTGCAGTCAGCCATGTGGGATCTAGCTCCCTCCACAAAGTACTTAACCACTGTGTTACTGAGCTGGCCTGAACTTTTAATTTTTATATTATTTGTAGGTATCCATCAATAGAATGTGAATTTAACTTAGAGGTCAGGGACCATACTCATTTTGTTCACTGTGGATTTCTAGTTGAGCACATAGTAGGTATTCAATAAGATGTCATTAAAAGAATGAATGACATGATCAGGAATGTGTTTAAGTTCACAGAGTCAGAATGGGAATGTTAGTGCTATAATCTGGAAGTTGCTACTTTTGAAATGGATCTATCTGATTCTCTCACCTATCTGGCAGGTCCCTTCTCCCCTGAGTTCTTGGCTGAGTTTTCCCCAGTTATCCCTGAGGCTCTCATTATCTCTACTCCAAGCCCCATACTCCAGGGAAAGCTTAGGATCATCCACTTTAAGAGCCACCAGGACACCATGCTGGGTGCCCACTGGGCCATCAGGTCTGTGGCAGGGTGAACATTCCATGCAGCCGCAGTGGGTGGTCAATACAGAGCAGGCATCACTTGGCATTTGTGGACAGAGGGGGAAACCCAGGTTCAAGAACATGCATTTGTTAGGCGAGGCTACTATCCACCACACAAAGGACAGCTATGTGGAATTCTCAGCCAGGCGTTTAGCCAACATATTTATATGTATCTAAAAAAATTATTACTAGCTTTCCTCCTTGTGGGGTTCCATTTAACACCTCTGTTTATTTTATGCAAAGTGCTTCCCAAAATAAAACTTGTCAGATCACATAAACCTCAAACACAAATAAAGGCAGATTCAGAGCTTTTGTTGAGTGCTGAAAGAAGCTAAAACAAATAAAATAAAGAGCCATGTAGAAAAAGCGTGGAATTCATCTGTCATGAGAATACACTGTAAAATTATTTATAGGAGAGAAATAAAAGAAGAGAGATGCATTTTCCATTTGTTCATCAAAACTGTCTCCTTGATTAGAGGGGCTTGAAATTCAGAGCCCATTAGGCAAAGTACTCCCATCTTGGCTTATGGGGCCCCAGGGTCTTTTCATCTCCCACTCAGTTTAAAATTCTCATGTTTTCTCACATTGCATCCAAGGCACTAAGGAGTCCAAGAAATGTCCCAGGCTCTTTTATGACTCACTCTTTAAGTGGTGCTCAGATGCAATGTTTAAAATACAAGTTCTACGCAAAACCAGATCAAATAGCCTCCCTTTCTTTCGTAACACCAGCACCTTGCACTGTCTCTGGCATATGATGGGCATGCAATCCACTTCTGTTGAATTAATGAAAGAGCAATAAAAGAACAAGTGAATAAATGGATGCCTGAGTGGCTACCACGTACAAAACTCCATGCTATACAGCGTGCAACCTCATGGCCATTCGGTGTAAGATCAAAAACAAATGGTAGGGATGTTCAGAAAATGTCACTGAGTGAAGAAATTGGTAACTAGATGGCAAGTATGCACGTTACGGCATTACACAGCGGTCTGTTATTGCAGCATTTCAGACACATTTCATCTACTCAAAATACTGGCCTTCGGGGCCAGGCAGCCTGGCATTGAAGACTTGCATCCGCCAGGTCTGAATTCCAGCATCACCTTGCCTGGCGTCTCTTTTTCTTTGCAAGTCAAATGGGGTAATTTGTTGACAGGACAGGATCTGTTAATGTATGTGAACAGTTTTCAGAAATCGGCCCATTACTCCATAAGGAGAATAGCATAGGAATAAAGGAAGAGCACTAGATTTGGAGCCTCACATGCTTGGCTCAAATCACAGCATTGCCACTCTCGGTGGGATCCTGGAAATACCATGTAACATCTATCATTCACTCATTCAACAAATATTTCCTGAGTACTCACTGCTTAGAAGTGGCCAGGAGATGTGCTATAATATATCAAGGAGCACATCAGTTAAAGATTCCTAACCTCGGGGCCTACGGGTGTCATGGTGGTTGGTTAAAGGCACTGGATTCCCACATGGCTGCCCAGACCTGGCAGCTTGCTTTCACTTTCTCTTTTGCTCATACTCTCTCTCCTGTCCCTCTCTGGCCAAATTAAAATAAATAAATGAATAAATAAATAAGTTAAAAAAAAATAATTATTTAAAAAAAAAAAGATTCCTAACCTCATAGCAGGGCAGAAGGAACAGGAACAAACAAGCACAATAAATATTAGCCTGCCACACAGTGTGTTAGAGGAAGGCATGTCATGGGGAAAGGATACAGTTGGGATAGGAAAGAGGGATCACTGGGACAGTAGGGCAAGTGTTCAGTGATAAACAAGGAGAGCAGAGGTGGCCATACTGAGACAGTGACATCTGAGCAAAGAGCAGAAGGAGACGAGGAACTTCTCAGGGGCCAGTTTGAGTGGAAAGAGGAGCTGTGATGATGACCTGGAGGTGTGGCTGTCAGTCCACAAGGAGCAGTGAGGAGCTGGATTAAGAGTCATGAGGAACAATTGGTTATGTCATTGAACTCCCATGTAGCCAACCATGGTTCGAGTCCCGGACCCTGTGGATTAAACTCATGCTGGGCGTGTGTGCATGCGTGCCCAAGATCCTGAGAGGAGAATGGAGGAGAAGGGATTGCGGCGTGGCCATCCCCCTGAGGGGTGGTTTCTCGCTTTCTCTCTCCCTGTATCTCTCTGTCTTTCTGGTGAGCGCATGCGCCCTATAGCAAAAAAACTCTTCCAAAAAAAAAAAAGAAAGAAAGAAAAGAAAAAAAAGCAGTCATGAGGAACAATGATCTGTTTGCCTGGGACTGGGACCAGGTTTTTTCAGTTTTATAATAAATGGGGGTCTCTCAGTGATGACAGTCCAGGGGCACAAGGAGAAACCTGGGCTTGCCAGAGCATCTTCGTTTTGATATAATTTTAAAATTAGCAAAGAATAAGTCCCTGTGGGTACCCCAGAGGTTCTGCAAGCCTCCACTGGAGCTGGGTGTCAGAGATCTGAATTTAAAGTTTACTCACCCCTAAATCTTTGGTAGTCAAATAACTTTGTGGAGCTTACTTTTCACCTGAATTAGAGGGGAAGAATGGCCTGCCTTCCTCAAAGGGTTAAAGGGAAAAAAGAATGAAGAGAAAATACATATGAAAGTTCTTTGAGAACAGACCACACCAGAAACAGTACTATGTTCCTGCTGTTGCTGAGTGATCCTTGGGCTGAGGGATGGTTTTTTGCTGCCCTGAGGTGGTGTGGCCACTTTATAAATGCATTTAAAAATCTCAGATTATTTTGGTATTTTAGAAAATGGAAACAGAGTTTGGTTTATAAACCCTGGGTCATAAAATCTCTTGATTTGGAATAAGATTTAAGCATTGCCTCTTAGAGATCCTCTTCTTCTGACTCTTGGATTATCTAAGATTTTAGAATTTTCTCTCCCTACTCATATGGAACTTGATAGTTAACTTGATAGTTAGCATTACCAGCCACTCATCCGTTACGGGAGGTGACAGCTGTGTCTCCCTTTCTCATTTCTTCATATGCCTCATTTCCTCATCTAATGTTAGCATCAAGAAAATAAGATTGCTGTGAGGAATAACTGAGTTAACACAAGCAGAGCTATCAACAGAGTGCCTTGCACACAGGAGACACCAAAAGTCTTGTTAGAGCTTATTGTTGTTATCCTGTTCTTTACGTTACGGACACTCGAGTCTTCCTAAAGCATCACATTGTGGTTTCCTGTAGCCTAATGAAAAAGCAGCATTATCTTTGAGCAGGCCCAGTCCTAACCCACCAAGTCAGCCACCATCTCTCTGCTGTCCCCTTTGAACTCTCCAGTCCAGCCCTACTATGCTCCTGCATGGGCTGCAAATGGTGCCTGGCACAGCTACCAGTCTAGAGCTTTCTGCCTTGGGAACAGCCTGCCTGTGCTCTCTCTCAGGCCCCTCAGCAGTCTCAGGCACAGGGAACATCTGCCTGGCTTGAGAGCTGAGCTGACAACCCTGGAGAGACAGTTGTTTCTTCATCTTCTCAGAAAGGTACACTGCAGCTGGAAGTTGGCTGGCTGCTCCATGGCTGTCAGGAAAAGGAACAGCAGCCAGAAAGCACAGACTGAAAACTACGCTTTCAAGGGTCTCTTGAAAAGTAGGAAGTCAGAAGGAGATGCTAATTCAGTTCTGAGTACGTTGTTTCTGGCTCTCAACTCATGACTGTAACCCAAGTAAAACACTTTCAAGGAAACTTATTTCTTACCATGACACAGTTCATACACAATCAGTTACCTGTCTGGATGTCATGGTTAACACCTTCTACAGAGATAATGGCGTTTGGGATTCCTTTGCCGTGTAAATCTCTCACCATGCCTTTGATGCCTCGATGAACCTGCTCGACAAATGATGAGACACGTGGTGAGGTCACCAACCAGCTCTGGACACGCCATACAATGATGTGGACAGTGACCCTTATGACAGCCCAGTGCCCACCAAGAACACTGCAGTACATGTCTAGCTCAAAAGCTTCTTTGCTTGGGAATAATAATGGGCTCACACTCATTGAACTGAGAGAGGATTGTGTGCCAGGGAAGTTCACTGGGGGCTGCACAGAACCTCCCAGAACCCTCACTGGGCAAACTTAGATGCTAGATGCCAGTACCAGCCTCTACCACCTATGTAGAGGTACAGCCACAGGCACCAGGAAACTGAATGCATTGAATGCACAGGAACCATTTGTCAGATGCATCTTCAGACTCATCTATGACAACCCATGGAAAAGGGGCAACCTCTGTGTACAGACTCAGGATCTTCCCAATGGGATGGAGTCCAAATAGTCATGCAACAATTACTAATACATGAATGAAGCCCTGAGGCTCAACATTCATCTATTTATTCCTCTGGCTTCCAGTTAACCTGTTCCTTCATGGGGCATGGATATCATTCTGTTAATTTTAACACTGAGATAAACTGGTCAATGCACTGATGGTAAGATGGGTGAGTCCTTGAGAATAAGAGGCAGGGGAGATATTTACAGTTCTAGTGAAGACAGCAGAGGCCCCTCACCAGCGGGACAGCAGAAGCTCAGTGGGCACTTATTAAAACTGCCCCCACCTATTAAAACAACCTCTCACTCTTGCCACCTGCAGTGGTGACTCTGAAGTTCTGGCGGAGAGAGGGGTGTGTGTGTTATAGACTGAACTGTGTCCCCTCATCCCAAATTTGTATATTGGAGTACAGACCTTCATACTTCAGGATGTGACTGTGGAGAAAGTGTTTTAAAAGAGGTGATTAAGGTAAAATAAAATCATTAGAGTAGGCTCTCATCCAATATGATTGATATCCCTATAAAAATAGGAGATTAGGACACATATAGGGATATCAGGGATGTTCTTGCACACAGATGAAAGGGCATATAAGGACACAATGAGAAGGAGGCCATCTGCAAGCCAAGGACAAAGGCTTCAGAGGGGACCAACCCTGCTGGCACCTCAAACTTGAACTTCCAGCCTCCAGAGATGTTGGCAAAATAAATGTTTCCTTTTTAAGTGTCCCTAATCCAGGCATGTGGTCATGGCAACCCAGGCAGACTTAGAAGGGGCCTGGGTAGGTTGGCTTAGATATATGTCACTCATTCGCCACAGAGCAGTGTCTGAGAGCCACTCATCCTCAGCTAGAGGGAGCAATCATCATTGGTTTGGAACGTACTTCTGAGGGTCTAACCAAGTGTAAACAGATGGTAGCTCTTAGTAACGCTGTGCTTGGCCAAGGACAACGGCCCAGCTCTGAAGCACTAATTTCTTACCTAGTTCCCTCATTACAGCCATGTGCTCATGTCATACCTGTTCCATGAACACGATCAGAGATTCCCGGTTATTCTCCCACTCCTCTGGTAGCTCACTCTCATGTGGATATTTATCACAGCCCACGTAGATGGACAGCTCGAAGCAGTTTGTGTGAAGGTAGCTGAAATCATTCAGACCTGATAGATCAACAGGACCACATTTTAATTGAACAACACTCAAAGTAGCATGGAGAGTGACAATATTCAAGAACATTCACGAGACTTCATTGGAACAGGGAGGTATCAAGTATCTAATACAGACAAAAATTTGCATTATAGCAAACATGATGGGTTAAAGAGAGTTGAGAGAAACTGAAAGTTTATGTTATGGATGGTCATGTACAAGGGAGCCTTGAAGAAGGATTGAAATAGGTGCTTTTTAGATATTTATTTTATTAGCGTCAGTTTAACACACCATTTGTGGAATGAAGGCATCATTAAGAGACACTATAACATAAATATGTGTAGTTATATATACTATACATATATAATAATAATAATTTACATATATATAAATAATACATA